CGAGAATAAAAGTTACGCCTTCTTTCTTTGCGTGAACATTTGGGCGGCGTTATGCAAATCTTCCCACATAGTGATGTAGACATGTGGGGGCGTGTTAGAACAAGCCGTTTTAGGGGGGTGTGGCTGACTCTTAACTTTTATAAAGAATATCTCTTTGGATTTGAGACTTTAGTCTTTGCAACTTTACAGATCTTCTTTATGCACCAAGAGCTTGTAACACTCCAAAGAGAAAGGAAAAATTGAAATCGCATCATATGACCCCTTTAATCTTAATGTAACAGTAGTGTAACATTAGCTATTACATTAAGATCTACTGTTTTGGTGTCAATATTGTTGTGCAGATATTACATCCAGTGTCCGATACGGTAATATAGGGTTGGTAGCAGTGGTGGAGGAAACGAATTACAACTACTCACTTTACTGTAATTAAGTAGTTTTTCGGGTACTTCTACTTTTTTGAGTATATTTTTAAAGCTGTACTTTTACTTGTACTTAAGTACAAATTAAGCAAAATAATCTACTTCGTTACTTTTAAATCATAGTTCTTTACTGAGTACGCCCACAATTTAAATTGATATTCAAACCTTTGACGGAACTTCAGTAGCCAATAAAAATAAGATAAAGGCATCCAATCGTAAGGGGACCAATAAAAGCCCTGATATCTGAACCTGAATGCATGGGCATTTAGAATAGTTCCACACCTGACCGATGAAAATGCTACTAGAAGTTGTATTGGCTTGTAAGTGAAATGCACCAGAAAGTCTTTCAATAATCAAAGATGGAACTTTAATTTCTTTACAATGTAAGTGTATGCTAGAAATGTTTCGAAATGGGATATTTGTATGATTTGTACATATAAATATCCTAGTCTGCCTAACTGCATCACTACATTGTACAGTCATTACAGGTCAAAGTCATCTGATGTTCCATTTATCTAAATAAATAACATACAGTATATGGCTCTTAAATCACTGCTTATAAAAATTCAGTGTTGTCATATTTCAAATACCTCAACTGAATTGAGGTGATTTGTTTTATAATTTTATTACTGACTGTGTACTTGTCTTTTTTTGTAAATTCAATTCATTCAGTTTTAAATCAAGCTTCCTTGTGCTGTAAGCTTTTGCAACAAAGTTACCCTATTTTAAAGACACAAATACACAGAATGAGCAAATGTTTAATATTGAGATTTTTGTAATGGTAATTGATTAATGTTTATATATATGTAAATAAAATTGTTTATTCCTGTATCGTGAGCACCAATTTCACGAAATTTGTCAATAAGATAAAAGTGGGTTTTGTTCAAAGTAGCTATTATCCACATAGATCTTTGATATTAATTCAAAACAAATTTGTAATTCATTAAATATCGCCAGCTAAAAAGTAACTAGTAACTAGTAATCTGAGTAGTTTTTTATTTGTACTTTTACTTAAGTACTGTTTTGACACCAGTACTTTTACTTGTAATTGAGTATTATTTCAGCAATGTAACAATACTTGTACTTAAGTACAAATTTTCAGTACTCTTTCCACCACTGGTTGGTAGCATATTTTTGATAGATCAACTATAATGAAATGAATTACAGCTGTATTTTGCAGATTTTACAGTAGCAAGATACTTTTTTAAGAAATAAACACTGTAGCATGAAAAAATGCTAACGTCACACTGTATTCCACACTGGGCTTCTCACATATTATGGGTTTTAGTCTGTTGATACATTCAAATGATTCATATGACTGATTCAAATTAGCTATTAGACTTTACAAAACAGCATTATCATACTAGAATGCATTAGCTACTCCATCATTAGTTGTCAGTAAAGTTGCGCAGATATTACAGCCAATTCAAGAAAAGGATTCACTCTCTAGATTCTTTCTACAGGTACGACACAGTACTATAGGGTTGTTAGCTTATTGTAAGTTGGATCAACTACAATTTCCCCCCCAAACAAAGGTCTAAGATGCAAACCTGAACCGTCATGTCCCTCAAAAGCTTCTTACTTCTTAATACAACTGTCATATTCAGCTAATTCAAAAGTCTTCTTGTTTACTTGTTCTCATTTCCTGTCTTCTTTAGCTTGACTTTCAAATTAGACTTCAAGATACCTGCAAGCAAAACACGTGACTTCTCTCCATTAATGAATAACGTCTGGATTTTGCATCTCGATGCCAACCTTTGGATGTCTGCCGCCCTGCACTCGTAAACTCAAACTGAATTGAGGTCATTTGTTTTATAATTTTATTACTGACTGTGTACTTGTCTTTTTTTGTAAATTCAATTCATTCAGTTTTAAATCAAGCTTCCTTGTGCTGTAAGCTTTTGCAACAAAGGTACCCTATTTTAAAGACACAAATACACAGAATGAGCAAATGTTTAATATTGAGATTTTTGTAATGGTAATTGATTAATGTTTATATATATGTAAATAAAATTGTTTATTCCTGTATCGTGAGCACCAATTTCACGAAATTTGTCAATAAGATAAAAGTGGGTTTTGTTCAAAGTAGCTATTATCCACATAGATCTTTGATATTAATTCAAAACAAATTTGTAATTCATTAAATATCGCCAGCTAAAAAGTAACTAGTAACTAGTAATCTGAGTAGTTTTTTATTTGTACTTTTACTTAAGTACTGTTTTGACACCAGTACTTTTACTTGTAATTGAGTATTATTTCAGCAATGTAACAATACTTGTACTTAAGTACAAATTTTCAGTACTCTTTCCACCACTGGTTGGTAGCATATTTTTGATAGATCAACTATAATGAAATGAATTACAGCTGTATTTTGCAGATTTTACAGTAGCAAGATACTTTTTTAAGAAATAAACACTGTAGCATGAAAAAATGCTAACGTCACACTGTATTCCACACTGGGCTTCTCACATATTATGGGTTTTAGTCTGTTGATACATTCAAATGATTCATATGACTGATTCAAATTAGCTATTAGACTTTACAAAACAGCATTATCATACTAGAATGCATTAGCTACTCCATCATTAGTTGTCAGTAAAGTTGCGCAGATATTACAGCCAATTCAAGAAAAGGATTCACTCTCTAGATTCTTTCTACAGGTACGACACAGTACTATAGGGTTGTTAGCTTATTGTAAGTTGGATCAACTACAATTTCCCCCCCAAACAAAGGTCTAAGATGCAAACCTGAACCGTCATGTCCCTCAAAAGCTTCTTACTTCTTAATACAACTGTCATATTCAGCTAATTCAAAAGTCTTCTTGTTTACTTGTTCTCATTTCCTGTCTTCTTTAGCTTGACTTTCAAATTAGACTTCAAGATACCTGCAAGCAAAACACGTGACTTCTCTCCATTAATGAATAACGTCTGGATTTTGCATCTCGATGCCAACCTTTGGATGTCTGCCGCCCTGCACTCGTAAACACATGGCGCCCTTGAGATTATGTATACATTCTATTAACAGCCCTGAAGGTAATGGGAAGCACATTTACACTATAGGTACAGCGCTATACCACCCTATACCACCGTATACAGAACCTTCCTGAGAGGAAGCGGTCACATCCCGCAGGTTCCGGAAGGTTCTGAGGGGTCAGTAACAGGGGCAGCTGTGATGTGCTGATAATGGCAGACGGCTCAGGGGATGCGACTGTGTGGCGTGGGTGTCCAGAGAGACAGCTGCAGAGCAGTCCGGTGATGTATCGCTGGGTGGCTGGCAGTATCTAATGTATCTAATGTGGCTCAGAGGTTTCGTCCTTATCGATGATAATGCTGTTTTGAAGGGGAGGTTAGATTATTAGAATTTATTAGTTCTATTGGTGTAAATTGTGTTTTGTTGGGTAAAATCTTTTAATACGAATTTATTAAATTATATTAATATATTAATTATATTAATTATTTTATTATTACATTTGAATTAATTTATTTATTTTACTTAAAAATGGGGAGTGGCAGAAGGAAGGGGGTTCGATTATCACATGCAGCATTTTTTTATTTCAGAAAATTGAAATATTTCAATCTGAAATAAATTGTGGATAATAAATAATTAGCTTATTTTTTAATCATTTAAGTAATAAAACTTATATAATACATAACCAAATACTTCATAATATATATAAAATCAATTTTATTTGAACAACTTTTTTATTACTTTTTCTATATATATATATATATATAGTTTCTACAAATATCTTTCAAAAAGTTGATCAGTTATTATTTTTAATTGATTACGTTTATCATTTTTTATGTTTTTAATAACAAATAATTAACTTAAATTGTAATGTTTTAAGTAATATTTAGGTGTAGAAATATTTAAGAATATAAAATATATAATTAAATACTTAATTTATTATATGCATAATATAAAAACTTAAGCTTATCAATTATTGGTATTTTAAAATGTATTATATATTTGATTTGATTTGATATATTTTTATTAATATTTAATATTTTACTTTTCTATTATTTTTGAAGTTTCTACAAATCGCTAATAATGGACTACACTATGTAGGAGAATAATTGTATATTTTAATAATCATTCTTAAAAATAAACAATTATTTACAGTGGCATCTTTTATCACATTGCTGTTGTTGTTGTTCTCATATTACATAATTATTATATAACATTTTAATGCTATTTAGGATACAGTGCAATATTATGTTATATTATTAAATTAAACGAATAAAAACAAAGCAAAAAAAAAAAAACTTAAAAGAAGACTGGCAAAATACAGTAGACTAATTAACTTTGTACGTTTTCAGGAAGCAGAGGTTAACGGTACCCTTCCCCTGTTTCTTTGTGTCCATCAAAACGACTTGACCCTGCTGATGTCCTCACGGCTAAACGGAAATAAGCAAAAGCAGCTTCAGAGAGAAGATTTATCTGAAGATTTGCAGATTACCAAAGCAAAGAGACTCGGAGAGCGTAAATATTACTGTTGCAGACATTATTTCATAATTTTTCCACTGTCCTCTGATTATGAAATTGAATATCAAATCAGTGTGTAAGAGAGTGAGTTCTGACCTGCATGAGAGAGCTGTAGTCGTGGTATATTCTGGTTTCCAGCATTACTGGGCCGTATAAGAGGCAGCAGCGAGTGGAGCAGAAAGACCAGCAGGGGACTGTATGGCCCAGTCCTCCACAATCCCACAATCCTCATCTCCAGTTTCCTGTAGTCTGACCGTACAGGATGTCTTCTCTGTCACATCACCTGCGTAGTGCTGCAGAAACAACAAACAGATATGAGCATGTAAGCTGAAATTAAGTATCAGTACTAATAGTAATACTGTATGTTTCTGTAATAATATAATATAATATAATTTTAATGCCTTTAAAAATAAACAAATATTTACAGTTGTGTCTTTTATTACATTGCTGTTGCTGCTGTTCTAATATTACATTATCATTTAACTTTTTTAATGTTTTAAAACACTTAACAGTGCAATATTCTGTTACAATATTACATTACATCACCTTTTAGTACTGGAAAAATAACAAACTGATGTGAACATGTAAGTTGAAATAATTATAATAGTAATAATGTAGTAATAACATGAAACACCACACAACTTATTTTGTTTCTGGAATATGATGCAAATCGCTGTCTGTGATTATCTGTGAGTCAATATTATTTTAGTACCGATTATAGTTTTATAGTTTTTGTTAATAATTTAAATTAGATTTTATTTGCATATTTTCACTTAAATTTTAGTTAGTTTTAGCATTTTGTTGTTTTTTCTTATTTTTATAAGATTTTTTTTTTTTTTTACTTTTTTATTTTAAATTCTACAATTCATTCATCTGTAATAATCTACAACTGGACTATATTGTGTTGGACAATAATTGTATATTTTAATCAGAATTAAATTTTTTGCACAGTGTAATATGCCATTCACAATTTATTTTGTTTCCGTAATCAGATATTAATCAATATTTAATAGCAATTTAATAATATATAATTGGAACACAAATATATTGATATATTTAAAGTTAACGTTTAACATTCATACAATTATTAATTATATTATAAAACGTTAAAGAAATATTACATTATAAACATTACATAAATGTTAAATAATGTTTCCAAGTTGCAATCCAAGATTTGAGTCAAAATAAATAACTTTGACAAAGAGACTCCCAAATAGCAATATGTTAGATGAAGATACCAGACCATTTTCCACATCAAATTGAATATGTTTTGACTCCTTATGGAAGGGAAAACTCCAAATGACATTCTTGCACAATGACCGTAACCCTGTCCATATCATCTTTTCTAAATAGAAAACAGAATATGCCACATCCTTAGACATTCACTATCAGACTGAAGCATGCTAGCATTGCCCAATGGGCTTCACGGTCTCCTGGAGCCACAACAGATGCTACTTCAAGACTAGAAACCCGAACCCTTCAGAGCGTGTGAGCGGCGTGCCAAGCTCACGACTGCGCGAGAACCAGCCTCACGCGGTGAAGGAAACCGGAGCATTGTTTCGAGAAAAGTAATCAGTTGCCCTGATCTTTATTTTCTTTCCTTTAAGAGGTTACCCTACATAAACAGATTGCATGCGCAACCTAGAAACACTCGGGCGGCTTCCTCCTGTACATGCTAACCGCTAAACACTGTCAAAGGACACTAGAATGGATTTAATTTGTCTGTTAGCAACTTTCGTACGATATGCGGTATAGAAAGTCCAACAATTGGCGGGCTCATTGAAAGAGCAGCAGTTTTTGTGTTGGCGCTCAGGGGAAGCATTTTCCCATGATGAGGGTATTGTATGTTGCACCACTTAGACTCGCGAGGGGACCCCTGGGGACGGTTTCGACACGAAAAAATGGGCTTGAGCTGAAACATATGCAAAATGAAGATAGGCTTTCTCTATTGCTCCATTCATCACCTCAAAATCTAAGCTCATTACGCTGTTACTCGGACATAATAACTCTATTCAAGTTCATCGAGTGACGGAAACCAAATGCTCCCTTCGGTACGCTGATTTATCGCGAAATTTATTAACATTTCAACGTGAGAATCACATGTGTTTATCAGATAACCGATAGCTGGAATTTATTTTGGTTTCAAGACATAGTTCACCCAAAAATGAAAACTTGCTAAACATTTACTCACCCTCAGACCATGCAAGATGTAGATGAGTTTGTTTCTTCATCAGATTTGGAGAAATGTATCATTACATCACTTGCTCATCAATGGATGCTCTGCAGTGAATGGGTGCCATCAGAATGAGAGTCCAAACAGCTGATAAAAACATCACAATAATCCACAAGTAATCCATACCACTCCAGTCCATCAGTTAATGACTTGTGAAGCGAAAAGCTGCATGTTTGTAACAAACAAATCCATAATTAAGGTGTTTTTAACTTAAAAGCATCGCTTCTGGCTAAAATATGAGTCCATAATCCATAATAAGCTTCCTCCAGTGAAAAAGTCCATCTCTTGTTGTCTCACATCAAAATCCACCCACATATTTGTTTACAGCTGTTTTGGACTGTTTTGACTTGTAAACGGTTCTTGATCTGTACAGATTTCTCTCCTGATTCTGACAAGACTTTATCACTGGAGAAAGCAATCTCACGGATAGAGGACTTTTAGCCGGAAGCGATGGTTGGAAGTTAAAAACACCATAATGATGGATTTGTTTGTTACAAACATGCAGCTTTTCGCTTCACAAGACATTAACTGATGGACTGGACTGGTGTGGATTACTTGTGGATTACTGTGATGTTTTGTGATATCAGCTGTTTGGAGTCTCATTCTGACGGCACCCATTCACTGCAGAGGATCCGCTGGTGAGCAAGTGATGGATTTCTCCAAATCTGTTCTGATGAAGACACAAACTCATCTACATCTTGGGTGGCCTGAGGGTGAGTAAATTATCAACAATTTTAGATTTTTAGCTGAGCTATTCCTTTAAGTGCTTTGGTATCAGGTTTACAGCTGTGTTACATTATACCCTCCAGGTTGATTCAGCGATCGTGATTTCTGAATGTACTGTGTTGGCTGGAGCACAGGTGCTCAAGGAGAGATCAGGGACTCTTATCAGCTCTGTTTGTTGACTCAAACCTATTAATCTCCCTGAGAAAGCAAAAGAAAACATATCATTCCTGGCACAACAACAACTATGTGTGAGCTGTGCAAGGTGGGGATCGTCTGGCAGATACTAATATAGGCATATTATTCATTAGAGTACTTTCGGTATTCTTTATGTCTCTATTTAGAAGATATGAATACAGTTGGGAAAGCAAGAGAGATTTGAATTATGCTGTATTAAAAAGGTCCCCTCTGTGGCTTTGGTTTTTATAGAATGAGTGGGATTTGGTTTCAATCATAATTAATGAGTCTTTGGAGGTTTGTGGGCTATTATGTGCTGAATCTAGAGTCAGTAATGTTGCAGACGTACTTTTGACTATCAGCATAAAGTCTGGTCCACATTATTGTTTTAGCCAATTAACATGTCTGTTACTTTTTAATGGCTTATTAAAAGAACAAAACAAATCAGAAAGTTGTATTTCATTATGTTTCTACTTATACTGGTCATGTAAAGTTCAACAGTTCAGCTCTGTTTTGGGAAAATTAATCTAAAAATCTTAGAGATGATAATGATATATGCTAGCCATATTAAAAAAATAAATAAATAAACTGTAACAGGGTTGTTTTGAGATGTTCAAAATTGTTTTGAAAGAGACAATTCGTGTTTAAATGTATATTTTTTTAACTTATAATGTAATTACTGACTAAAATTACAAATATGTAAACTCCAAATAAAATTGACAGGGTTGAAGTATCAGTGGTCTGCAATATTTATTTATTTATTGCTGATTTTTTAAATATTACCTTCAGTCAAATTAAGTAATTACATCATAATAATGATAATAATAATATCAAATTAAGTAAGTAAATAATAACAATGATAACCATGCCATAGATACTATTTATTATTATTATTATTATTATTATTAAACGTATTTCACAGACAAAAAATAATAATCTGAACAGTTTCTTTTAATGGATATCCAGTTACTTTCTAGTGAGTGTTGACTCTGAAATGACTCAAAATGAAATGAAAAAAAAAACACCGGGTGTAAAATAAATCTGTATATTATTTATGGTTAGAGTTTAGGTTGTAGTAAGTGCAAACCACAATTTATCAAACATTCAATTATTCAAAATGTCTTTCTGAAAGATTCCTGTAGCTCAAATGGTAGAGTATGATAATATGTACCTTGAATGCAGTGTTTGGATAAAAGCATCTGCCAAATGCATAAATGTAAAGAACAAACAACCACTAACTGTGGGGAAATCGTCAAGCTTCGGGAAGAGGAAGCAGTTAATATTAACTCACTTCCAGGCGAAAAAACCCACACAATGTGAACCAAGAAAGAAATAGCAGCTCACTCCAAATTCAAAGCCTGCTTCCTTGGACACATGTTTCTCTAAAATGGTAAGAAAGACGAAAAGCTAGAGCCTGTCAGGGTCACATTCGAAAAAATGACCTAATTTACAACCTTGACCGGCAAAGCTTGAAGAGTGACTTCAGACATTGTCCTACCAATGCTGCTTTAAACAATTGAAAATACAGTCAAAGAGCTCCTATCCTTTGCTGGGACACTTTTCTGCCTGGATCTCACATGTTAAGCACACTGAGGTTTCTCTAAGACAAAAAGCCTCTTGGAGGAAGGTGGAAATACTGGAAACCTCTTAACAGGCAGACGGGAAAATAACGATCCCTGCAGGGCGACACATAGTCAGGAACTTTGTCAGAGTAATGGATGAACACTCTCACTTCCTCTTGAGCTTGTGAGCGCACAGAATACAGGGACCGGCGGGGAGTCTTTCACTGCTCTGCACCAACAATCTCTGATGCAATCCGGCAAAAAAAAAAAAAAAACACCACTTCAGACTCTGTCAACTGTCCCTTTACACGCATATACTGTATACACATATATTGCACATACAAGTTCCCATATAGATGTGAATGGATATACACACACACACACTCACAAATGAGTTACAGCAGATTTCTAGTTCCCAGCATGCTTTACTTCTGACCGTTAAAGGAGAGTAAATCTTAAAATGAAGTGTTATTTCATATGTTTTGCTCAATATTAATATGGGGGGGATCTGTTAGTGTTTAATGTTGTATTATTTTGGAATGTAAAAGGGTTTCTGGTATGTCTGAGTTTTTGGGGTTACCGTTGTGCTGAAGAGTAG